AAACAAGGAGAGAATTTCAGGAAAAGGCAATAGTGCTTTGCAAACAGCTGGGGTCCAGTAAAGTTGAATCAGTGAGCTGAGCAAGAAGAGGGCAACAACACAGATTCAGAGCAAATACAGGAAGGTGGGGAAGAAAGATAGCGGGGGGAGGTAGGGTGGCAACAAAAGAGTAAGGAATATCAGGATCCATGAGACCTGCAACAACTTGCACATTTGACTTAGCGTCCCGATATTTTCATCCTAGCTTGGTCTGTTATTTGGCTGAAATCTGTGTCCTGAAGCAAACGTTTTAGGTGGGGTTGATATTAGGATCCCAGAAAATCTTTACATAGAGGCTGGATTTAAATCCACTCCACTCTCTTATTCCCACCCATTTAATATTGTCACACTTCCTGACACGTTATACTGGCAGGGACTGAAAAGGAAGACTGACCTGCTCTTGGCCTTTTCTTCCCACATCCACTTTTTATCTGCACAAATAGTACATAAACATAATGCTTGAGAATTGCAAAATGTTCAAGGTGGTTTTTAAAATATGGCTATCAGATGAAAATATCAAGAAGTATTTTATGTTGTCTTAGTTAGACTCTTGAGTAACTTGTGCTGTGTGATAACATTCTTTACTGTCATTACTCTTGGAACACAATAGCCTTCTTTCTGGTCTCCTTCCTGCCCCTTGTACTTCTCTCCACACAGCAACCAGCGACTGGTATGGACTGAATGTGTGTGTACCCCCCATTCATATGTTGAAGCCCTAATTCCCAATGGGATAGTATTTGGAGATGGAGACTTTGGGAGCTAATTATAATTAAATGAAGTCATAAAGGTGGAGCCTTCATAATGAGATCAGTGTTTTTATAAGAAGACACACCAAAGCGCTCTTGTGCGCTGTCTCCGCTGTCTCTTTGTCTGTCTCTCTCTCGTATCTGCCGTGAAAAATCACACTGAGAGTGAAGGGATGGCTGTCTGCAACCTGGGAGACAGTCCTCCTCACCAGAATCTGACCATGTTGACACCCTGATTTCAGAATTCCAAGCTTTCAGAATATGAGAAAAATATGTTTCCGGTTACACCACCCAGTTTACAGTTTTATGTTATGGCATCCCAAGCTAACTAATATAGCCATCTCTCAAAAATGTACATTATATCTGAAACTTTCCTGCTGAAAACCTTTTAAGGACTTCTTATTTCTCCTGGAATAAAATTAAAATCCTTATCATAGTCTACAAGGTGCTGAATAGTCTTTTCTTCAACCTCATCTCATATTGTCCCATGAAAAGTCATTTTCCACCACAGAAACTTGGCACTACTCATCCCTGCCTGCAAGGCTCATCTTCCACTGCTTATTTTATTTATTCACCTTATAAATATTTCTAGTTACTATGCCGATTATATACATGGTAAGTTTCTGCATACTTTTTTATTGTTTGTCTCTCTATATACTGCTATGTAATGAAGAACATAAACTGCACGAGGACAGATATGTTGTGATTTCCTTTCATTGATGTGTTCCTTGCACATAGTACAGCATTGGAGACATAACAGGTACCTATAAAACATTCATGGAATGAGTGATTACTAGCCTAGTATTCTCAGAGTATTTTCATTGACATGAAAAAACTCACTTCCTTCTTTGATTCTTTGTTATAATTTTGTTTTCTTTAGCTTGGGGTTCATTATAAAACATATTTACCTTTCAATTCCACATTTTTAATTAAACATGGGCTGGTTCATGGCTGGGAATAATCCTGTTTATATAATATCTATTATTTCCTCGCATGTATCTAGAAGGCTTCTCCACAATAATAACTTTTAACCTGGAAAACCGAGACCCAGCTTTGAGCCCTGAACTTAGAGGGGCCTACCCTGGCTCTCCAGGACCTCACCTCTTCAATGGGTCAGGAGTCCATGGGGCCAAGAGGATGCACTCACCCAGGACCTGCCCACTGATTTTATGATCAGATGCCATGACACACAGAAATCTAGAATCCCACACTCAAATCACCCAAGCCTGCTTCTAGGTCCTACAGTACCTCTTTTTTCAAGACTGGGTCCAGCATGTACTGCACACCTTGGCCTGAGGAATAGTTATTACCATAGGTGTGAGCAGAGTCTAGACAAGTATACTGGGGTGTCTACATGCCTCTGTGCAAGGCAGGACAGACCAAGTGTGGAGATGGGAAGAGAAATCAGCCTGACAATCAGTAATTCCAGAATCTGTCAGACAGACTTGGCCCCAAGAGTAAAGAGGCCTTGGGTTCAGGCATTCACCCCAAGACATTTGCTGAGTTGTTGTACAAGCTTGGAGTTGGAATAAAAAAGACTAGTCATAGAAATTAAGAAAACAATAAAATGAAGAAAATTTACTGTTAATAAAGAAGTTCTAAGAGTTAAAGAAACCCTAAAGTAAAAATTACATTACTAGGAAAGTTTGTTTATCTATTAAGGTTTTTTTTGGGCTACAGTATGAAGATTTTTAAAACACTATAAGTTTCATATATTACCTTTTCTCACAAGCCAATTCTTGCAAAGGTAAAGAAAGTTAGTTACTTCCTGTTTCTTCATAAGTATTTTTGAAGAATTTAATATAGACTAGAAAGTGATTTTTAAAATGCTTTGTGCCAATCTTCCAGAAGTTCTGCAAAGTTGTACTGATTGCCTCTGTAGCTATAAAATGGCAAAGTTAGTGTTAATAGTCAGGGTAGAAGGATGGCTATGGATCAATTTTCATGGAGTAGATTTGCTTCCCGCCTGAGGTGACATGAAAGCAGCCTTTTACCCTGAATTAAAAGAGCAACTATCTTGATTTATATCCACTCCCTTATTTTATTCTGGTTTATACTCATAAGTAAGGAATTTAAACTATATAAAATATGTATTCCCCAAAAACTGGAACCACATAAAAAAGAGCATATAACTAAATTATTATTACATTTGCAGTTTTTAACAGACCCTAATGTGATTAATCTTAAAATTTTGTTATGGGTAACAACTATCATTGCACATATTTAAAATTGTCTAACTAGAGACAATTGGCTTCGATATTACACAATTGCCAGTTAGAAGTCCTTAGAAGTTTTATAAGCATAGAGAAGTAAAGTAATTCTTAAAATCCTGAATGAAATAAGCAAAGATGAGATCAGAAAGGTAAAAGTGAATTCAAAAAATAAAGGAGCTAAACAGAAATACAATTGGATCTGTTGATGAGGGCAATAAAAGTAAACAACGAAAATTATTTTTGACCAGGCTGATGGGATTTGAAGTGTTAAAAAGTACCTCTTCTTTTCTTTTTCTTAAAACAAAGAAAACACTTTCCTTTCTGTCTATAAACTTATATGTGATCAGGTAGGAAAGAGATTTTGACAGTCAAAATATAGATTGGGGTGAGGACAATATGGTTCATAGATTTTATTAATAGAATTTTAAAAAATCAAAGTCTTCAATGAACATTCCATGCACATTCATTGTTCTCAAAGTTGCCCAAGTAAAACTATACGAAACCACATATTAGATTCATCGAGCTACACTGCAAATTACATATTAAGTATTGGCTTGTATAATTTTCTTGTAAGATATGGTATTTACTTTATCTTCAATTAGTAAATACAGAGCTTATAAATATCTAGTGAATTCTGTTTATAGGGGGCACAAAAATCTAAACATTAAAATCTTGAATTATTACATGGTAGGGTTTGGACTAAGATGAAATGGTAGTGAAATGAGTATCTTTGATAGTGTTACATAAGAAGCATAGAGTCCAACATTTTTCATAGTGAAAAGCTATTTTCAGGTGCTTTATTGCCAATCTGGTGCCTTCTCTCTGCCAAAAATTTAGGTGCTTGTGTGAACACATATACAACACCAAAGTACAGATTGGAGAACGCACAAGGAATGTCATCCCCAGGAAATAAGCAACCATGGTTGGCATTTTGCAGAGCATATTGAAACAAAGTACACCTTAAATTTCAGTATCACATAGATATCAGCATAAAACTATAGGACCATAGAAAGACTGTTGGTGAAATCTGAAGTTTGAGCCTTTCTAGTAGAGATACTGAAATTAGGCACCATTTAATACAAATTGGCATGGCACACACATATAGATTATAGACTCAGAATATGAACATTCAGACAAGACTAATTTTGAGATACCAGTTATCTAATGTGAATGGCCTGGAAGTAAATACCAGAATCACTCTGGATATTGCTTGTAGTTTTGAAAATCCAGCCAGATGTATTATCATTCCTAATAAATTGTGCATAGTTCTTATTTCATGTTGTGGAATTATTCTTCTCATGTAATTTTGAGTTTAATAAAAAATAAAGTCCTGAAGAAAAGGATCTCAAAAAGCAGGTATTTATAAAGAGATTTATTTATCTGGGTAAACCCACTAAAATTTTAGTGAGTATTTGGGTGCTCAGATTTTAAAATCAGGCAAGAATTATTCCAGCTGAATGGTGTTTAAAGAGAATAAGGCTTATTATTTTCTGGATGAGTTTTACCTAATCCTGGAATGCATGTAAGATAGGCTGTAGTCTACAGTTTTTGCACGTAAAATCATTCAGACTTTAACACAATGAAGTTGCCTTTTCATTCTTGATGAATATCCATTAAATACAGAGTCACAGAACAAGACAATATCAGAAAGAAGTGACTGGGCGTGGTGGCTTATGCCTGTGATTCCAGCATTTTGGGAGGCCAAGGTGAGTGGATCATGAGGTCAGATCGAGACCATCCTGGCTAACCCGGTGAAACCCCGTCTCTACTAAAAATACAAAAAATTAGCCAGGCATGGTGGCACGCACCTGTAGTCCCAGCTACTCAGGAGGCTGAGGCAGGAAGATCACTTGAACCCAGGAGGCAGAGGTGGCAGTGAGCCGAGATGGCACCACTGCACTCCAGCCTGGGTGACAAAATGAGACTTCATCTAAAAAAAAAAAATTGTATAATTTTTCTGAAGCACAAAATTAAAAGTTGTACATATTATCACTTGGGAAGACTGAGACTTGGAGTTAATTGTTGAGTTTCCTAGAATACAATATAAATATTTCTTATGGAGCCTTTTAGGATATCTCAGGTGATCAGATTATGGTTACTAGGCAAACGCAAAAGTAAGTTTTAAAAACATTCTACTTCTTGTTCACAATGGAATTTAGTTGGTCTGATAAATCACGTATGTGCTATCAATTCTCTTTCTTACTGATAATGGGTCAATACAATTATATGCAGTTCTAACTCCGCAACTGGACAGACAAAATGTTGCATGTAAAATATTAAACTTAACAAACCTAAGCATCAGTCATTTAAAATGCAAGTAGCTGGTCTTGTTGAACCATTCATATTTTCCTAAATCCAACGTATTCTCTCATATCTCTTCACCTCTATACAAGTTCCTCAGAATGACCCTCTTCTCTTTCTAATTTGGCTAATTCCTCCTCACCTGTTAAAACTCAACTCACCCATCACATTCTCCAGGCATCCTTCCTTATCATCCTTCTGCCCATTTCAGTTATTCTGGTTTGGACATTCTCTTTCTGTGTTTCCATAACCTGCCAGGCTTTTGTCTGTCATAACACTTATCCTCCAATGTTATGTTCATCTTTTTGTTTTTCTCCTTTAACAGAGAATACCAAATGTATCTATTAATTTTAAATTATCAGTGTAAGCAGTGTCAGATAGATAATAGGTGCTCAATACTAGGTGCCTAAAAAATTAAAGTTAATATAAGACATTTTGCAGCATATGGAGTGATGTCAGACTGCAAGGGATTCAGTTTTTGATAGACTTTGATGTGTCAGAAAGGAGAAACATCAACTGCCATCAGTGAAAATGTCTTATTACTAGTCATCTGGAACAGTTCACATTTTGTGAACCTAATGAGTATAGAAGCCGCCTAAAGAGCCCTCTATCACATGAAATGGACAGCCCTCTTCAACCAGTGACATTGTTGATCTCAGGGCTATTCAACCTAAAAAGGTCATAAAATAAAAGACTGTTGATGTGAGATTCTGAAACACTCTATCACTATCATAATTTTCCCGGTTAACATATTTTTAGTGCCTATTCTGCATCAGGTATTAGTCCATTTTCACACTGCTATAAAGAACTACCTGAAACTGGGTGATTTATGCAGAAAAGAGGTTTAATTTACTCACAGTTCCACAGGATTAACAGGAAGTATGACACTTGGAGGACTTAGGTAATTTACCATCAGGGCTGAAGGTGAAGGGTAAGTAAGGATCTTTTTCACCTGGTGGCAGGAGAGAGAGAGAGAGTGAAGGGGGATATGTCAAACACTTTAAAACCATCAGATCTCCTGAGAGCTCACTATTCATGAAACAGTAAAGGGAAATGTGCCACTATGATCTAATCACCTTCCACCTGGCCCCTCCCCTGACACATGGGGATTACATTTGGACATGAGATTTGGGTGGGGACACAGAACCAAACTATATCAGGTATCCATAAGCATTTTATGTACATTATTTTTATTTAATCATTACAACTTAATTGAAATAGGCATTGGTATTTCATACATACTGCAGATGGGAAAATTGAGAATTTGGGGAATAAGTAAGTTGCTCAAAGTCAGACAGTAATAGAATTTCAATGCTGGTCTATCTCTAATGACCATGATCTCCACTGTTCAGCTATTCTGTTTCCATTAGATACAGCCTGGAATATTCCCTGGTGTTTCATTTCCCTACTTATTGTCACCATCAGTTATTTTCTGACTCTTCCCCTTCACAACAATTGACCCTATAACTGACCGTGACTCCTCAAGCACCCTCTTCCAGTGTTAATCTAGCAGCAGGACTAATTTATCAAGACTGGGGAGAATAAGAGGAAAGTTTGATCTTCTCACTTGAAACTCCTACTCTCCTCCATTTCCTTCTGCTAAAGTATTCATTATGCAGAATGGAACACAGAATTAAAACAGGAGGAAATGGGTGGGTGACATGACTTTGCTCTGTGTTCCCACCCAAATCTCATCTTGAATTGTAATCATCTCCACATGTCAAAGGCAGGGCCAGGTGGAGATAATTGAATCATGGGGGCAGTTTCCCCCATGCTGTTCCCGTGATAGTGAGTTTTCAAAAGATCTGATGGTTTTGTAAGGGGCTTCCCTCTTCACTCCACACTCATTCTCTCTCTTGCCACCCTGTGAAGAGGTGCCTTCCACTGTGATTGTGAGTTTCCTGAGACCTCCCCAGCCATGTGGAACTGTGAGTCAATTAAGCCTCTTTTCTTTTTGAATTACCCAGTCTCGGGTATTTCTTCATAGCAGTGTGAGAATAGACTAATACAACGGAGAAGGGAATAACCTTAATTTTGCTTTTTCCATCCCTAATCCTAACACCATCACCACACTTCTTCTACTGAAACACTTACAATGTGATTATGTGATGAGAAGAAAAGAGACAGAGATGAGAAAAGGAAATCATGTGGAAAATATGAGGGTAAATACTATCAACATTTTTTCTTCCATATTTACCAGTCAAATCCCCCCAACTCCCAAACTCACTTATCCCTTGTATGAATAAACATTTCTGTTTAAGTATAATACATAGAGTGTACAAATCATAAATGTATTTTAATAATTTTTTACAAAATGGACACATTTATAATCACCACCCATGTCAACAAACAGAACAGCATCAACACATTGTGAATTTAAATTGCATTTTCCTGGTGATTAATAAGTTGCAACAACTCAGATATTTAATAGTCATTTGAGTATTTTATTTAGTGATCTGTCTTTTCAAGTCTTGCCTATTTTTAAAATTGTGTTGCCTGTCATCTTTTATTAACTTGTAAGAGTGATACACACGCACACAAACACACACATACATAACATATATATGTTGCATGTATTGCAAATATTTTCTTTCCCTTATTTGTTTGCCTTTGAAGAGTATTGTCTTTGATGAAATTAGGATTTTTTTAAATTTTAATATAGTTTTACATAATTCTATATAATTTTTTAGTCTTCTTTAATCCATGAATTGTAATGTAATCCAACTTATCAATATTTTTTTCTAATGATTAGTACATTTTGTGGTCTGTTGAAGAAATCTTCGCTGCAAAATTATGAAGATATTCTCTTATGTTATCTTCCAGAAGCTATGTTTTATCTCATGTAAATTTTGATCTATAATCCATCTGGAAGTGATTTTTGAGTGTAGAGTGAACTCTGTGTTAAGAATCATTTTTTCTTCTGAATATGCAATTAACTCATTATTATTTTTTTGAAAAGCCCTCTTTTCTGCACAGCATTGTGTCACCTTTGCCCTAAGTCAATTGTTAGTAGTGGTGACAATCTGCTGCTGGACTCTCTTTTGCCCTGATTTAATTGTCTATTCAAGTGCCAATGCCATACTCTCTTAATTTATGTAATGTCTTCAAATTTTGTTCTTTTTAGAATAGCTTGGCTTCTTGAGACTCTTTGCATTCCATTAGTCCTAAAATCTGATTGCCCATTTTTACAAAAATATAAACAACACAAAATACTTGCTAGAATTTTTACAGGAATTGCATTAAACACATAAGTCAATTTGCATAAAATTGAAATCTATTGAATACTGAGTCTTCCAGTCTAAAACCTGGTATATTGGTAACATCTCAGTTTTTTCAGGTCTCTTTAATGCTTCTCACAATAACTTATTGATTTGCATGTTTAGAACTTTTATATACTTTGTCATTTCCTACATATTTAATTTATTATGCTTTTCTAAATGTGAGTTTTTAGTTTTATCTCTAATTGGTGGTACATATAAATACATTTGCTTTTTAAATACTGTTCATCTGTGCAAAGACATTGCTTAAGTTGTACTGCTTTTAGTAATTTATCTGTATTTACTTTGGAATTTTAAATGTATAAACATGTAAACCGTAAATAAAAGTTTTATTTCTTTATTTTCCATTCTTCTACTTTCTTCCTTCCTTTCTCCTTCCTTACCTCCTTCTCCCCATCTCCTGTCACTTTTCCATCTCTCTTCATCTCTCTTCTCCTTGTTCTTCCTCTTTTCTTGTTCTCTTTTTTTCTCTCTCTGTATCTCTCTCCCTGTCCCGTCCTTCTTTTACTTTTTTTTGTTTTTTGCCATATTGTACTAGTAGAAACCTTCAAAATGGTAATGAATACAAATGGTAATACAGTACATTCTTATCTTATTCCCAGTCCCATGATGAAAACTTTTAATACTATAGCATTAAATATAATGTTTATTGTAGATATTATGTTATAGATACCTTTTATCAGATAAGAAACTTTTCTTCTAATTATAATTTTCTAAGATAATTTAATTATGGTCTTTAATCATTTCCAATGCTTTTCCTGCATCTTTTGAGGTCTTTGTAGAATTTCCCTTTTTATTTTGCTAATGTGATGAATTACTTTAATTTTATAATATTAAAGAAACCTCACTTTCTAGAATAAGTTCAAGTTTGTTGTAATATAGTTTTTAAAGTATATACAGTTGGATTTTATTTGTTCATAATTTCACAAACATTGCATTCTATTTATAAAATATATTGACTTGTAATTTTCCGTTCTTATAATGAACTAGTCAAGTTTTAGTATCGAGCTTTCATTAGCCTTAAAAAATAATTAGAGAACTTTTACTTGTGTGTTTTGGACTAGTTTGTATGGATGGTACTATTTTTCTTAAACAATTTTGAAGAAATAACTATTACATTGTCTGATTCTTACCTTTCTTTGATATTGTTGGAAATTTTTAGTTCCAGTTTCAATTTGTTGTAAGCTCTTTATAGTATTTTTATATTTTTTAATAAAATTTGTAAAATAAATCTACCTGTTTGTTTCTGATGTTAGTAATTAGTACCTTCTTCCATGTATAATTTCAATTGTTTATTTTTATATGTAGGATATCAGTTGACTTTTGTATATTGACTTTGTATCTTGTGAAATTTCAATGCTCATGTTTTAATTCCAAGAATTTTGTTGTTGTTGTTGATTCTATAGAATGCTTTCTCATAGGCAATCATGTCATCTATGAATAAAGACAGCTTTATTTTTTTCTTCTCAACTAACATGTATTTATTTCATTTTCTTGTCTTATTGCATTAGCTATGACTTTCACTACAATGTTGAATGGAAGCCGCAAGAAAGGACATCCTTGTCTTGTTCCTGATCTCAGGAGAAAGGCATTCAGTTTCTTACCAGTAAGTATGATGTTAGTTTTTCTGTAGCTATTCTTTATAAAGTTAAGTGAGTTCCCTCTATTTCCAGTTTGCCAAGGGCCGGTTTTTTTTTTTTTTTCAAATCATGATTAGGTGTTGGATTTTGTCAAATGCTTTCTCTGCAACAATTAACAGGATCATATGATTTTTCTTCTTAAACCTGTTGACGTGGTGGGTTGTACTGATTGTTTCTGATATACCACCTAAATCCCACTTAGCTATTGCTATGGTTTGAATGTTTGTCTCCTCTAAAACTCATGTTGAAATTTAATTGCCAGTGTAATGGTATTGGGAGGTGGAATCTTTAAAATATTGTTAGGCCACAACAGATATACCCTCATAGGAGTTTCAATGCCTTAAATAAAAAAGTCTTCAGGAGTGAGCTTTCTCTCTTACCCTCTCACCTCTTGGTATGTAATAATGCAGCAAGAAGACCTTCATCAAAAGCAAGCAGGTTGGTATTGAACTTTCCAGTCTCCAGAACTGTATGCCAATAAATGTCTGTTTATTATAAATTATAGAGTCTTTGGTATTCTGTTGTAGCAGCACAAAAGAGACTGAAACAGCTATGGTGTATAATTCTTTTTATACATTGCCGAATTCAATTTGCTTTGTTGAAGATTTTTGCATCTAAGTTCATGACAGATGTTGAGCTGTAGTTTTCCTTTCTTGTAATGTCTTTATCTGGTTTTGGAAATATGATAATGTTGACCTCATAGCATAATTTAGAAAATGTTAGTGCTCTATTTTATTGAAAATATTGTAACAAATTGGCATTATTTCTTTCTTAAATGTTTAGTAAAATTTACCAGTGTAACCATCTGGAACTGGGTTTCCTTTTTTTGAAAGATTATTTATTAAAGTTTTAAAATAAACATATAAATATTTACATTGTTTCCCCTTGTGTGGGTTTTGATAGTTTGTGTCTTTCAAGGAAATTCATGGGCATAGCATTGTTCATAGCATTACTTTGTCATCCTATTATTGTTCCTGTGACGAGTAAGGATGCTCTCTCTTTTATTTCTGATAAATTGCATGTTCTTTCATTTT